CGGGCCGGGGGGGTGAGCCTGGAGAGCTTGGCTGCCGAGTTCTGCAAGCGAACACCTAGACGGGAAGAAAGTGTTGATGATGTCTATATCAACAAATTTATGGGATTCTTCCATGGCGCGGTTATTCGAGTATGTGTGGCCGAGACTGTTTTAGCCCCTGGAGACAAAGGAGTGAATCAAATATTTTTGTCTTCGTACGGCTTACACTTTATGGAGGGACAGGGTGAGGAATAACATAGGTCGAGCAGATGTAATGACTGCAAAGCAGAAAAAAGGCAGCAGGGGGGTGACATTTCCGAGAGGGCAGGGAAGGCCTTGCTAGGTGACTTTGGAGCGGACTTAGAGGGAAGGAGGGAGACAGTCCTGTGGTTTGGGGGGGGCTGGGGACTTCCTAGACAAAGAGGTGAGCGCCCATGTGGTGGGGCATTCTGGGGGTGTTGGAGGACTAGGGAAGGGGCCGTTGGGTCTGGGACAAGGGAAAGAAGATTCATACCGTGAGTTTTAGCCATCCTTTTATTTGCACGGGTGTTGTCTAAAGCTAGCTGGAACAGTATGCAGTTTCCTTTCGTTTTTTGTGTTTTCTGCTGCACACATGGAAGTCATTTGGTATAAATACAAATTATCGTTTTTAGTTAGTGTGATTATTGGAAGCACAAACATATTTTTTTTTTTCCCATGGTACTTTTTTTTATTGTACTTTAGATGAAGGTTTACAGAAAAACTAGCTTCTCGTTACAGAGTCAGTACACATATTGTTTTATGATGTTGGTTGACAACCCCACAATGTGTCAACACTCTGCGTTCTCGACCTTGGGTTCCCTATTACCAGCTTTCCTGTCCCCTCCTGCCTTCTCATCCTTGCCCCTAGGCTGGTGTGCCCCTTTAGCCTCGGTTTGTTTTATGGGCCGGTCTAATCTTTGGCTGAACGGTGAACCTCAGGAGTGACTTCATTACTAAGCTAAAAGGGTGTCCAGGGGTCATACTCTTGGGGTTTCTCCAGTCTTTGTCAGGCCAGTAAGTCTAGTCTTTTTTTGTGAGTTAGAATTTTGTTCTACATTTTTCTCCCGCTCTGTCTGGGACCCTCTGTTGTGATCCCTGTCAGAGCAGTCAGTGGTGGTAGCTGAGCACCATCTAGTTGTGCTGGACTCAGACTGGTGGAGGCCGTGGTAGTTGTGATCTTTAGTTTTGTGTCTTTAGTTTTCTTCATGCTCCTGAAGGGGTGAGACCAGTGGAGTATCTTAGATGGTGGCTCACAGGCTTTTAAGACCCCAGACGCTACTCACCTAAGAAGAACGTAGAACGTTTTCTTTATAAACTATGTTGTGCCAGTTGAGCTAGATGTTCCCCAAGACCATGGTCCCCACAGCCCTCAGTCCAGCAATTCGGTCCTTCAGGGAGTTTGAATATGTCTATGGAGCTTCCATGACCTTGCCTTGTACAAGTTGTGCTGGCTTCCCCAGTATTGTGTACTGTCTTACCCTTCACCAAAGTTACCACTTATCTATTTATTGTCTATTTAGTGTTTTTCCTGCCCTACCCCTCCCCTCCCTCGTGAATATCAAAGGTTATTTCTTCTTGTGTGTAAACCTTTTCATGAGTTTTAGTAGTAGTGGTCTCATACTATGTTTGGCCTTTTGTGATTAACGTATTTCACTCAGCATAATGCTTTCCAGATTCATATATGTTGTGAGATGCTTGGCAGGTTCATCATTGTTCTTTATCATTGTGTAGTACTCCGTTGTGTGTATGTACTATAGGTTGTTTATCCATTTATCTGTTGATGGTCATCTAGGTTGTTTCCATCTTTTTGCTGTTGTGAACAATGCTGCAGTGAGCATGGGTGTGCATATGTCTATTCGTGTGACAGCCCTTATTTCTCTAGGATATATCCCATGGAGTGGGATTGCTGGGTTATATGGTATTTCTATTTGTAGCTTTTTAAGGAAGCACCGTATGGTTTTCCAAAGTGGTTGTACCATTTTGCATGCCCACCAGCAGTGCATAAGAATTCCAGTCTTCCTGCAGCCTCTCAAGCATTTGTTATTTTCTGTTTCTTGGGGGTTTTTTTTTTTTTTTTTGGTTTGTGCCCATGATGCTGGGAGCACAAATTTGTATCCTTACTTTAGGAGTGACTACATAGTCCATGTAATCTGTCATTCAAACTGGGATGCTTTTCAGATTGAAAGGGGACACTAATAGTTATGTATAGACAAAGCTGAAGACCAAATTTATACTGGGTATATCAGGACATATAGTCATCATATTCTGCAGAATGTATTTGATTCTATGAATAGTGTATGTACTACAGTGGTTCTCAAACTTTACCTGCATCATTATCACCTGGAAGGTGCTCTACTCCATTTCTGACCCAGTAGAGATGGGAGTGGGACCCTTCCTAGTTTGCTTTTCTAGTGAGTTCCAGGTGCTGCTGATGCTGCCAGTCAGAGACCACACTTTGAGAACCACTGCGCTGCTTTTAGAGTATTACCCACTGGAGATGGCAGTTCAGCTTATGACTAGGTTTTTTAAAATTTATTTCGTAGGGTTACTGCTCTGGTGCTGAACACCGGACTAGGTGCTAAGGACTAAATTGTGATTTGCAGCGTAGTCTGGAGGGGTTATTAAGTGTGTGTTGACAGAAACTAATTACCATGCATTGTGATAATGGTAGTCATGCAAGTGGAACCAAAGCTTTGTAGAAAAGGTGAAAGAGATGGCATTTGGGCTTGTCCTTAAAGGTTAAACTGAATTTTCCTGGTTTAGAAAAGAAGCTAAGGCACTTTAAGGCAAAGGCTATGCCATGATATATGGTGAATCATGAAACTGATTGTGGTTGGTGAGTGGAAGAAAGAGTAGTGTTTGCTGGATTCTGAAAAGCAGAGATCTCCAAATTTGATTTTGTACACCATCAGTAAGAGACTTTGAGCATACACAGCAGTATACCCAGTATGTAAGTTAAGTATGCATGTGTAGCCTTGTCAAATACACATATTGTAAAACATACAAAGTCACTTAAAATGAGATTAAATATTAGTTGTAATATTCTGGCAAGGGCTCAAGCATAACAACGTTTGTGAGCATGGCCCAGGACCAGGCAGTGTTTCATTCTGTGATACATAGGGTTGCTATGAGTTGGAACCGACTCAGTGGTACCTAACAACAATATTCTGGCACCTTAGTGGATTTTCTTGTCTACCCAGGGCTTTGAACCCATCGGTTCTAGTTTGAACCCCTGCTGAGAATTTGCATATTTAACAAGTTTCCGGGTGATGCTAATGCTGCTGATTAGGGACCAATTCTGAGAACCGCTAGTAGAGCCCAAACAGGCTGTTGGGAAAGTGATTCCGACTCATAGAGACCCCATAGGGTTTCCAAGGCTATAAATCTTTGCAAAAGCAGACTGCCACATCTTTCTCCCTCAGAGCGGCTGGTGCGTTCCAACTGCTGACCTTTTGGTTAGCAGCCGAGTGCTTTAACTACTGGGCATCCAGGGCCCCTACTGCTAGAGCAGTGGTTCTCAAAATTTATTGTAAGTAAGAATCACCTGGGGATCTTGTAAAACTGTAGATTGTGATTGAGTACATCTCTACATGGTAAGCTTACGTGTTTGCTTTTTGATTGTGTAAAATATTAGTCAAAGAGGTCTTTAAAATTGGAGTGTGTCATTAGACTTGTCTTTTTAGGAAGATCACCATGGAGCAAAGATTTTTAGAAGCTGTTAAAACTCAGAAAAGAACTTGATTTAAAGCAGACTGATCTTAAGTGTAAACGATGTCATGTCTTCCCCTGTTTAAAATCTTCAGTGGCTTCTCGTTGCACTTAATGTCAAATCCAAGGTCCTTACTGTTGTCTGTGAGTTCTGGGTAGTCTGATCTTGCCAGCCTTAAAGTTTATGAGCTCACCTCACTCATTACAAGTCAGTCCCATTGGACTCCCTTCAATTTGCAGACGAGTCAGGCTCTTAGCACTTAGACACGACTTGCTCCCCCTTGTCCCGCGGACCCCTTGCCATCTCCCGGTTTCCAGTCCTTGTACATCTCAGATTACAAGCTAGCTTTCTCAGAGGCAGTCCTCTTCAGCATGTCAATTCCTTCCTGCTTTGTGTTTGATGGGAACATTCTGCTTGCTCATTGCACTTTTTAAAATTTGTAGATAATTTTACCTGCTTTTTCTACTGGGGATAAAATTTGTAGAATGGTCACTATGTGCTTATTTTTGTTTCTTAGGGCCTTACATGTGTTCTCATTTGATCCTCACAATTTCCCTACATGGTAGGTTATAATTCCATGTTACATGTGGAGACATGTATCACAGGTTCTATAGCTTGCTCGAGGTCACTCATGTAAAATATGAAGGACTTGGATCAGGCAGTCTAGCTCTGAAGCCTCTACATAAAATAACCTGATGATACATTTCTTCTGCATGAGGTAGGGAAGAAGGGCACTCTTATACACAGTAATATACCTGATGCCTAACAGCCTGGCTTACAGTAGGCACTTGATAGGTGTTGAAGGGATGGAGAGAATTGTTGGATCAGGTGTAGGGTCGGTAAAGGAGTAGTTTAGAGGTAAATGACACAGTCATTTGCTTTAGAGACAGTTGATGGGGATGCCACTAATTGAGAATGAAGTTATGGGAGCTGAATGACGAGGTAGGAAAATATTAGTTTTGGTATGTTAAGGTTAAGCTACACGTGGGATGTGGAGAGACCCTGGAGGAACACAGCATGTATCAGAATTATGTAAAGGGACAATTTAATAGTAGATTATAGATCAAATGTAAAAGAAAGAGCTAGTCACCAATACCTTAGTTCTCTTAACAGTTTTTCACTCCTGTATCTGTTTATAATAAATAAATCAGTTGGAAAACTAAAGCTTCTATTAAAATAAATTTCCCATACTTATTTCACTATTTCAGCCCTATCACCTAGCACAGTGCCTGGTCCCCAGTAAATACTTGCTTTGTTGAATGTAGAGACATTGCCTTAAGAAACTGTGTAGGTTAAGAGAGATGAGAAAAATAAGTAATTGCCTTGGGTTTATTTTGGAATCTTCAATAAACAAGTTTAAAGGTAGTATTGTGGAAGTGGTCGAATGTAACTGTGCGTGCTGAGTATTGTCTTCACAATTTTTCCTTTTCAGATAAAAAAATGACTGGGCGAGCCAGAGCCAGAGCCAGAGGAAGGGCCCGCGGGCAGGAGCCGGCACAGCACGTGGGCGCTGCTGCAGTGAGTGCTTTACAGCTTTCTGGCTACGGAAGACTCCTGGCACAGACAGACAACCTGTTGATCCTTTGTCACTTTAAGCTGTTGGAAAGAACTAAAAAACTGTGTCCTGTGAAGGAGAAAATACTGAACCAGGAAGATAATGCTCTATTTCCTGGGGAGATTAGATGCTTTTCAAAATTCTTGATTTTAGTTGGCGACTTTTCTCTTAAAGGAGTTTTCTTATAAGAATAAAATGTTTCATTACTGATTTAGATCAGTGTTGGTTGAATGTCTTAGACTTGTTTAAGATTAGTTATTTTCTCCATCTGTGACCTTGTGACATAAAAAGAATGCTATTCTTTATTTGCAAATAACTGCAGAGTCAGCCACCTGGTTATATTCAGCCTAGACCTCAGCAGCCACCAACAGAGGGGGAATTAGTTGGCCGTGGACGCCAGAGAGGACCAGTAGGAGCAACAGCCAAGTCACAAGGTGAAGAGAGAGTAAAAAGACTGTGTGTATGTGTATAAACAAACATGAGATAGTAGCTAATATACAAACTCTAGTAGCAAAGGGTAAAGAGTACTGGCGGGTGTGGTGGTTAAGCACTCAGCTGCTAACCAAAAGGTCGGCAGTTGGAATCCACCAGCATTCTTTGGAAACCGTACAGGATGGTTCTACTCTGTCCTATAGGGTTGCTATGAGTTGAATCGACTCCATGGTGAGTTTCGGTTTTTTTTTCAATTTTGCTGGTAGAAAAATGAACAAAAGAAAAGACAATGCACTGAAAAATACAAAGGCCAATGAAATGTGAAGCCTCATAATTAAATGTAAATTTCTCCGTAGTTTTATTTTTTGGTAAGTGTGGTGAAATTGGCACTTGCGTTCTAGATGGCTTCTATAATTGTACTAACGTTTAGGTGGGGTTTTGTAGTGTATAGAAACTGTAATGGTACCCTTTTATCAGAAATTCCACTCGTAGGAAAGCATCCCACAAAGACTCAATAAATGCAGCGTGGTTATGTATGGGGGTTAACTATGCTTTTAATACCAAAATACTGGAAACACTTGATTAATAAATGGCATTACTGCTGAATGTCATCAATAGGGTACCATTTAGCCATTTTGTAGAATGTAAGAACCGTCTGAGCAAAATAAATGAAAACAAGGTGTTTCAGTCGTGTTTTTAATAAACACATGTGTGTATATATTACCTGTACTTAGTAGAAAATTTCAAGGAGAAATACACTGGAGGAGTCAAACTAGAAGACGAGGGCCTTTTTGCTGTTATATACCCAATTACATGGGTTACTTTTCTGTTACAAGATGTTTTGTTTTTTAAGTTAAGGTGCCTGTGAAAATATATTTATGGGCATTAATCTCTTTAAATTTTAAATACCAGAAACATGTTTACCTATGTTTTATTGACTATGCAGAGGCATTTGACTGTGTGGATGATAACAAATTATGGATAACAAGGTGAAAAAATGGGAATTCCAGAATACTTAATTGTGCTCATGAGGAACCTGTACATAGACCAAGAGGCAGTCATTCAGATACAACAGAGGGATACTGCGTGGTTTAAAATCAGAAAAGGTGTGAGTCAGGCTTGTATCCTTTCACGATACTTGTTCAGTCTGTATGCTGAGCAAATAATCAGAGAAGCTGGATTCTATGAAGAAGAATGCAGCATCAGGACTGGAGGAAGACTCATTAACAACCTGCATTATGCAGATGACACAACCTTGCTTGCTGAAAGCGAAGAGGACTTGAAGCACTTACTGATGAAGATCAAAGACCACAGCCTTCAGTATGGATTACGTGTCAACATAAAACAAAAATCCTCACAACTGGACCAATAAGCAACATGATAAATGGAGAAAAGATTGAAGTTGTCAAAGGTTTCATTTTACTTGGATCCACAATCAGTGCCCATGGAAGCAGCAGTCAAGAAAACAGATAGTGTATTGCATTAGGCAAATGTACTGTAAAAGACCTGTTTAAAAGTGTTAAAAAGCAAAGATGTCAGTTTGAGGACTAAAGTGTGCCTGACTCAAGCCATGATATTTTCAGTCACCTCATATGCATGCGAAAGCTGGACAATGAATAAGGAAGACTGAAGAAGAATTGATGCAT